AGCTATTGGGAAATGCCTCTATGTCATGCTGACATGTGGGCCATGTCCCATAATGGACAATAGCTCACTCTCCACTCATTCTGCTGTCTCTGCCTTTTTATCGGATGGTCCGGTGACTCTAGCGGATTGTTCGATAAATCTCTGTCTTTGTACAATTGAGCCAAGGATCAGGGTTCTTAGCTTTGGGCTAATCTCAAGGTTCACACATGTCTTGCCTAGCTTCAGAGGAGATAAGGAATCCTTGTTGAAGTTCTCATGAGATTTTTCCTAACGGTGATTGCTCGTTTGACATTTGGTTGATCAAAGTTTGACTTGGCTTGACTTGAGCAGTTGATCGAAAGGGTGTCCATTCTTTTGATCTAGATGCTAGAGATCACTGCGGGAGCTGGTTTGGTTGCTTTGGCGATGTCCGAAAATGAGAGCCTTTATTGTAACAAACTCGAGTCATTACACGGGCGTTGCCAGATCTAGCGAGGTAGCCACGGCCGGCGGTGCCCCCACGGTGAGCTGACTACACAACCTCGACGGCGGGTGTTAGGTACCGCACGAGCTCTGCCCCAACATGCGGGAGCTCCAACCGGCATGAAATCCCCAGCACCGTCATGCGAGCTCCGACCGTCGTGCGGGAGTTCTGACACAACGCTCGACCCAACTCCGACGTGTGGGAGCTCTGCCGCTGCGGCGACCTCCCTCCCTCCAGTGGTCAAGTGGCCCTAGCCTAGGTAGAGGATGCGGCCTACCTCCTCCTTACGGCGGCGCAGACCCTCCCTCCTCCCTACGGCGGTGGCATGGCACCTCCTGATGGTGACCCAGCCCCTGCATCCTCGGCCGAGAGAGGCCGACGAGGTCTACACCGGTGCGCCCAAGCCAGAGATCCCCTCCACCATGGCTGACGAGCAGGGAGGTTGGAAGAAGGAAGAGGAAGAAACTAACGAGCAGGGTCCAATTGTCAGTGAGAGGGAGAGAGTTGAGTGCGGATGACATGTAGGGTCTGTTCAACAATTTTTCCAAAAGCCATAGCTATGCAACCAAATGGTCTTCTGCTTTTCTCACAGCTACTTTTCCACAGCTCACAACAGCGTTTCCAAAAGCCACAGCTCAACCAAACAAGGCCTAAATCTCATGTGCCTCCATCACTATCGAATTGTTCCTCCCTCACCACCGGCTAGAAATCCCACGCCGCTCTTCTAGGCCCTCACATTGAAACAGGTCATCGTGCCGCCACGCCCCACGTAGGTCTTCATTACCACACCCTGTCGGGTCCTTAACGCCATCTTGCGTCTTCCCCGATGCCATCTTGCACCTTCCCCACTATCGTCTCGAGCCTCATTGCGCTGCTTGTCTAGGGACACACGTTGGACCGCGTAACCATGCCCCCGTGCCATCGTCGGTATCGAGCAGTGTAGCTCAACTTGCTGCATGCTGGAGTGACAGAGCTTGCTGCACCGCCTGTGCCCTCTTGCCGAAGAGCTCTAGCTCATCATGTCGTCGTTCCCTCGATTTTGTGGGACGGGGATGCCCCAAATCTTAGAGTTATATTCCTCTCTATGATGGACTCATATATATCTCTAGTTTTCCACCATCCAAACACTACAAAGAAGGAGCATCACAACGTAAATGGGGCGAGCCCATCCCCTCGATTTTGTGGGACGAGGATGCCCCAAATCTGAGAAGTATAGGCCTCTCTGGGATGGACTCATCGCCGATCGTCCCCCATCCAAGCACTACTAAAAAGGAGATCGACCCAGCCTGACCATGGTCATTCCCTGAACCAAATGCATGTTGAGGTGCGGCAGGTCATGCTCGTGCCAAAGCGTGCGACCCACCACAACCCATGACCTGCTCCTCTTATATTTTGTTTTTTTTGTTTCCTAAATTCTTTGTCCTAACTAAAAATTTACAAAACTATACTATTGCCACTTGTTGAAGTACCACTGGTGGAATTTTCATTATTGCCATATGAATTGGTGGAATTATCTTTTTCTGCACACTTTATTTAAAAAATGACAAGTTTTATATACGAGCTTGGATAAAGATAAATTTATTTGATTATTGTATACCTCGGGGATATCTACAACTTTTTAGTTCATTACTTTTTTATTTGAAGTTGTTTCGATGCCTAAAAATACTAGGACAAAGTTATACTACCTAGGGCATAGTATCGCCAGATGATTCAATAGAGATCAACCCTGTCATCTGGCATATACTCTTATGATATTTTCAGGCCCATTTCATGTCTACTCTCGACCAATTTAATTTCTTTAGGGTTAGACTTAAAACCACTTCAATGGGGCCGCTTACCACCATGATCTTGATTAGGAGGTAGCCTCTTGTGCATCTAAATGCTCTCGCTCATAACCCCTTAATATAAGATGAATGCCTTGGACCCCATTAATAGTATAGGCAAATAAAAACAAAGCCCTAATACACTCTACAATAAATGTCTCCAAGCACCTTATATGTGCTCTATTGTGTTCTTAGTCTTTACGAATATCCTTTGTGTCATATTGTCATACAAAATCTTCGAGTCTAAGACACTTGTGACAAATCATCATAGGGCTAACAACAATTTGAATACCACTACAAACCACATGTTAGTTATAATACTTATGTTCATCAATCACCAAAATCCCAAATCACCAAATTGGGGCTTAGATGCGTTCAACAAAGAACATTCTCTTGATCACGTACAGAAATTGCTATTCCTTTTGTACTGACTAGCACCACATGTTGGGCAATGCAACAAGTCTTTAAACACCCAACAATATAAAATACATTGGTTTGGACATGCATGTATTCTTTCCACACCCATTGTCAACAGATTGATAAGCTTCTTAGCTTGATATTTGTTGGCAGGTACATAGTTTGGCTTTGAAGCAAACTAGACAAGAGAAGCAATAGGTGGTTGAAACTATTGTTGGTACAATGATATTTAGCTAACCTTTAGGATTAGTAGGTCAAACATGAAACATAGCACCGAGCACATTTCTCACAACCCTTTGACTAAACATACAAACATACCTTCCTCACCCTCTTTAGTGTCTCCCAATTATTTAACTCTTTGGTAGTTTTTGTTATCAATTCCACATCATTGTGGTGCAACATTTTGTCTAGGGAATCTTCTTCTTCATGATCACCTTACCCCCACCATCAACTTGACCACCATCACCTTACCACCATCATCACCCCTACCATCATCCATAATAACATGATTGGCATCGTAGAACTCTTCTCCCACTTTGTCCATAATCCCTACTTCATGTGTAGCGATGTCTTGGTTTCTTTTGCTTGATGTATGTCTCTCAGTATGATTGTTCTAGATTGTGTAGTTCCCTATGAAACCTATCGATACTAAGTGCGAGATGATCATACTCGAATCTTGCAATATTATGTGGTTATGGCAGTCACAACATGCACAATATATATCCATTGTCTTCTTAATCAGCACATGCTTTTCAATGGCTTCAATAAATTTGTTCACATCTTAGATAAAACAGAATCAATGCCTTCTTTTCATGTACATCCATGATCTATCCATCTTTAGCCTCAACCAAAACATATAAATGCATCAAAACATAATGTACATTTAAAGTCAAACTAACTCATAAAAAATTAATTAAAATGCTTCTAATTTGTTCAAAGTTTATAATAGCTGGTTGTAAAAACCACAATACAACATGGCAACTATTTTTGATGAGTTAGAAAAACATTAACATAGGACCGTCTCCTAATAATGCATTAGCATAGGAGAAAGTTTCTTATTTATTACAATTTTGTGTTAATAGTTCACAAAATCACTGCACTCCCCTGCATACATGTCTAGATCTAGGTTTAGAAAATCCCCATTCATGTAGGAAGGCACTGCCACCGACATGTGGGAGTCCCCTCAACACTAGATGCCACAACACGCATAGCGGGCGTCCCTGTCACACGCTCAGCCATAGGAAGATGCCCCTAGCCCACCAAGGAGATGGGCGCGGTGAGGCGAGGGGGCCAGTCGTAGCGCAGAAGGGTCGACCCACGAATCTGGGAAGCCACAACCTGGAGGAGACCCGACTGTCACCTCGGGAAGGACTGGTGCCCTGGCCCATCAAGATAGAGCCCCCATGACCGCTAAGATGATAGACAATACACGCCTAGCATAGGACACATCAGGGATGGAGTACGACCACTGCAAGAAGGCTGCCAGAGCACATACTGCCCACCACTACTAATGATGACGGCATGAAGCACAACAGCCGCAGAAAGACCGCAGGACATCGTGATGGAGACACCACCAGCACAACCCGGCCTTCGACGGGCACTACTAGCGCACCTAACTCGCAACGTCCACACATGGATCCTCCAGCACATCACCTCAACAGATGAGGGAGCACCTGATCAATGCCAGGGTGACATACTTAAGTGCCACTAGCCCATGTAGGAAACCGCCGTCGCCAACTGTTGGATCGATGTCGGTGACAATGGGAAGAATAAGGTCGGCTTGGGTGGTGTGGGTGGGTGGGCGTGGGAGGTGGGGAGAAAACCAAAGGAGAAGGGAGATGGTGCTGCACCATGCTACACCCTCCTTGCTGCCAAGCGGACCCTCGGCCAGCGGTGTGACGGGGGAGGAGGGGTGAGGAGTGGTGAAAGATGTGGGCATAGTTGCCACCTAAGTCACCCATAGGGACGAAGCGGGGCCGAAAAACACCCTATATACTATCCATTCTAAAGATATGATATTATACAATTCACAATATTAGAAGTGTGATATTACAATCCTAGCAACGACTCTTATTCCGAAACATTAGAATTGCAATGGCACCAAACAAATTATAACCTTTTTATATACGTGGCCTTAAGCCGTGAGCCGAGAGACACACGGCGAGTCGGACTCAGGGTCGTCCTCTCTCCAAAATCGAACAGAGCAGTAGTACAACTCTAAACTTCGAATCAAGATACCTTGGGTTTCTAACCTAAACCATTTTCAAGTCGATCGGAGTTGGCCAATCGCCGGTGGCTCATGTTTGATCAGGGCCACCGCCATTGAGGTAACGACTGCCACCTTTGCTGCGCAAGGCGCAGCACCCGATCGTGTAGACAACGATAAGGAACGCGAGGAGGGAAACGTTCACGATCGCCACTGTCTTCCACTTCTTCTTGACAGTCTCCAACACGCCGGCCTTGCATGCGTCGCACTCGAAACAAAGCACGTGCCGGTCGTTGCTCCATGCCCGGCAGTCACCGTCTCTGGCTGCCGCCGGAGACAACGACCCCGATCTCGGGGCCTCCCAGAACGTGGCGTTCACATACCGGAACCTGCACCACGTCGGCGGCTTGCAGCAACCAGACTGCACCGTTGCAAGCGAACACGTATGAAACTCACGAGTTGACGGTCGTTTCTGATTTTATCACAATGTGAGTGTACCTGGATTGGCGACAGGTGTTGCCTGTAGAATTCCATGGCGTCCTGCCCCACGGCACCACGGAGCCGGCCGCCGCACACGCGCGCCTGAGAGAGGCAGCTCTCGACTTGCCGCCACGTCTCCGGCTCGGCGATCCGCGCCTGCAGCCAGCCGGCGTAGTCCCCGAGGCGGTACTCCCTGTACCCGCGCCCGGACACGGCGCTGCCCGAGCCCCGGTTGGTGACCACGAACGCGAACACGGTGAACGCGAACACGGCGACGACGATCAGGAACATGAAGACCACGTACACCCAGAGGAACGGCGCCGCGGCGTCGCGGCGCCCGCAGGCGCCGGCGAGGCCGACGAGCGAGAGCAGCAGCAGTGCGCAGCCGAACGCGACGACGGGGATCTGCAGGGCGCGCTCGCACTCCGTGGTGGCGCGCGTGAGGAAGAACACGCCCGCGCACAGCACTGGCAAGGACAGGAGGAGCGTCACCAGGTTCAGAGCGCCCAGGAGGCCGTGGCTCAGCCTCGCCATTGACGATGACAGCACCTGTGTGGTTGCGTGCTGCAAATTAACTTGCAAACTGCAGCCCACCTGAGTATAAACACGAACGCTGCATCTGTAGTAGTAATAGTAGTAGAGATCAATTGGTATGATCTTGCTACATGCAGATAGATGCAGATATATATCTCTGTGCCGTCAGTGTAAGATTGGGATTTCTGGCTGATCCTGATGCGGTTCTTGATTGGTGGTTTAATTTGGAGCAAGAGATGGGGAGAATTAGCAGTGTAGATACGTAGTGGGTGCTCGTTGCGGTAACTCTGTCTGCTTGTGTGAGAGAAAGAATGTCTTTTTTGTGCAGAAAAGAGTGAGCTTTGACGGTTGTTTGTTCTCCTGTTGTTTTGGGGTTGACGAGGAGGTCAAGGACAAAACGCAGAAGAGGGAGACGAGGGCAACACGTGTGTGCAAGAGGAGGCTGGCCTTTAACTGTGGAGCGTTTTTGCTCTAGTTCATCTTGCTGTCATTCATGGTCGTCAGTTTTCACGGCATGTAGGCGCAGGCGGGACAGATGGCACAATGTGGTTTGTCGTGAGTGGGAAAGCTGTTTCATGAATTTGAAATATATTTTTGTCAACATAAAGTTGTTTCCGACGAATCCGTTGGAACCAAGGTGTTATTTATTAATGCAACAAATTCTAAACGAATACTTTTAAACTTTAGAAGATTCATTATTTCAAATTTACTAGTTCCACATTTCAAATATACTATTTTAACAATTTGTAAATGAACTTTGAAATCCTTAATCTGTTTTCAAGTTGTTAAATAAAAGTACTGAATTTGGACTTTAAAAATTGCCTAAACAAGTATATAATTTTTTAGAGTCTAAAAATCACAAAATAAATACAAACCAGACAATAAGAGAGAATTATTGATTAAAAAAGAAGACAAAAATAGTAAATGAAACGTACAATGGAAATAAATATGGATCAAATATACACATTTATAATATTTTATGGTTGAATTATGGAGTTGAAATGAAGAAAGACAGAGGGCCAACCCAGGGTAAATTGGAGAGAAAGAGAATAGGAAGGATTCTTTTGGTAGTACTGTTGGAGGTCTCCAGGAACCATACCAATAGAAAACAAGGACTATCTACTCAAACAAAATAGAAGGTCTGTTTTACGTAGTACTGTTGGAGATGTTATAAAAGTAGAGGTAGAGTAGGGTAATTAGAAGCAAATTTGTAGCATTATTTCAAATTATCTTTCATAATAGCTGACGTAGGATAATTTAGATGCAAATTTATGGGTTATTTTAAATTATTTTTTATAATGACATATGTGAATAGTTCAGATATGAATTTAGGAATGTTTTTTTCTTAATGGCAGAAGTGAACATTTTTTATAAAACAGAATAGATCACATTGGTCTTTTATCATTGATGATGATTACAGTTTTAGAAATACTCGGACGCGGGCGTCCATCCGCTCGCGTCGGTTCGGACGCGGCTTCCACTTCGCCTCGCCCGTCTCTCTATCTCTCCGTTCCGTCTCGCCCTCCCCATCTCCAGGTCTCTCTCGTGTCCACTAGCAGCAGTAGAGCCCCGCCCCGTCACCGTTGCTTCCTTCCTCCACCCAAGCTGATCATGTCGTCTCCTCCCTCAGTTCACGCAGTGCCTCCCCGGCCTCTTCCCCAACCCAATGCTGTCGCCGCCATGGGGCCGCCGCCGTTGCCCCTGCAGATGGAGGCTGGGCGCACGTGTCGGGCGCCTCAGGTCATCTCCAGCCGAGCCAAGGGGCACCCACGAGCGGCCGCCGGCCAGTGCTGGTAGTGCTCGCACGCCGCCAACTCCCACCCTAGCAGCCGGAGCTCTCCCCCTATGTTGCAAACATATATTTCAATTGTTGCAGTTGTTTCAGAGGTATGTTGTAAGTGTTTCATATATATGTTACAAAAATAGATCGGGATATTGTATATGTTGCAATTGCTATACACGTACGTTGCAAGCGTCTGTTACAAATGTTTTATCTGTTTTTTTAGGACGTATGTTGCAAGTATTTTTATTTGGATGTTGCGTATGTTTCACGCATATATTTGCAAGTGTTTTTGTTGGTACGTTATGTATGTTTTGCAATGAGTTTTCAAGTGTTTTTAGGTGTTTTCGTAAGTGTTTCAGACACATGTTTCAAGTATTTTATCTTTCTTCAGATGTTTGCAAAAGTTTCATCTAGATGTTTCAAAAGTAGATTGCGTGTTGTATATGTTGCAACGTAACTCACCTGCCACAGCCGCCTGCTGCGGCTGCTGGACGCCGTGCATACGTGCTTCCGCGCGTACATATACCTTTTTGTTCAAGTCTTGGTCTGTGAATATAATCAGACGAACGTGGTTTGCTCCGTAGGTAGACGATGGCAAAATGTGTTTAGTCGTCGAACTGATTGCAGGCGGACTTAATTTAGTTCGCTGGAAATGAACGCAGCTGCGGACGGTTTATGATGCATTGCCCTGGCGTTGCTCACACGGACAGGGGAAGATCGTGCAAATTGCCAAGAACAGCCGACCTAAGCGCCTGTGTCATCAATCGAGTATATTTATTTGTGTGCCTCATCACGAATAATGAGTGTTTCGATAGAACAAAAACATTGGAATTAAAATGATTTTTCCTTTTCTAATGAATGCGTCTAATAACGGCCGGCCAGGATCTGAAGCAGCAGCTCGTTCCACACGTCGATCGGTCCCGGCAGGCACCAGTGCAGGCAGTCGATGTCGAAGCCTTCGTGGTCGCCGGGGCCGTGGCCGTACCTGTCAGGGTGCCCGTCCGGGCGGCGCAGCATCATCTTGGTCACGTCCATCACCCTCAGCCGCACGCCGTTCCTCCTCGCGTCCTCCGCCGCCGCCGCGAACTCCTCCACCTGCGCCGCGTAGAAGTCGCGCTCCGGCTCCGCCATCTCCAGCGGCGGGTCCTCGGGGTCGGCCGGCCGCGTGGCGGTGCACTCCCCGCCGTCGAACCACCCGCCGTTCTCGTAGTGCGTCGGCGCCACCGTCCGCAGGACGGCGGTCCCCTTGAACCCCTCCATCCCGCCGGCTAGCGCCCAGAGCACGGTGCGGAACGCGGCCCGCTGCGCGTACTGCGGCGTGAGCGCGGTGACGTTAGCCATGTCGCAGCGGTGGCACCCGACGACCTGGCCGCCGCTGTAGTACACGGCAGGACGCGCGAACCAGTGCGACGCGGACACGACCACGTAGTCGTGGTCCTTGGCGGCCGCCGTCCACCGCCCGTCGGGCTCGTCGAGGTGGAGGTCGCTGGGGCCAGCGAACACCTCGCCCTGCCGGTCGGGCCCGACCGCCTCGGGCGGCCCCCGCGTCAGGCGCCACCGCACCTGGAACGGCGTCCAGAAGAAGGCGACCGTGAACGCGTGCGCCGGGAACCGCCAGTACTCGAATCCCTCCGCCGAGCGCGACGACCTCGACGGGGACTCCACCTGCGACAAGGTGCACACGAGCGACCGGACGTGGCTGCTGGCCAGGGAGTCCCCGACGAAGAGGATCGACCTGCCCCGGACGAGCCTGAAGAACCGAGCCGCGTCGAAGCGCTCCAGCTCGCCGCAGCCACCGTCTGGCTCTGGCTGCCACCGCCACCGCAGGAACTCCACGCTTGGCTTGCCGTGCTTCAAGCAGTTCTGGTAGCCCTCGATGAACGCGCACGTCGCGTTGGTGTAGTGCGGCCGCGCGGTGGGGTCGCGCACCCACCGGCCTAGCGTGGGGTCGCAGGCGGCGCCGGCGCCGCCGGCGCTGAGGGAGGAGGAGATGGGCGTGGGCGAGGGCGACCACCATTGGAAGGGGCGGCCGAGAAAAAGAACCGACAACGTGGCACCAGCGAAGCAGAGGACGGCAGCGAGGGCGGGAACGGACTTGATCTTGGGAACGGCGTGGCGGCTCCGGCGATGATCTCCGATGAGGAGGCCACGAATGGATTGGATCACCGTGAGTGTCTTCATTGGTGACCTTCCAGCAGATGCCGTGGTGCAGTGCAGTGGCTACCGATCTCTGCGCATTGCACGGGAGCGCAAGTGCGGGTGCTAGTTAGCGCTTTAGCGGGGGGCCAGAATGTGATCCGTGATTATAATTTGATATATAATTTGAGATTGATGGTCAGTCAACGCAGCTTATAGAATGTTGAAATACTGCTGGGACAAGTGCTTAAGTAGTGGGAGGACACGCAGGCATCGAAAAGTCAACTCAACGAAGTGTGCTCGACTGACTGGCTCATGGAGATAGGCGTGGCTCGTGACAATATTCGCAAATGCTACGCTCGTGGTCGTGGCCAGTTCAACGTACGTGACTGTGAAATATTTGGGCGTCGGCCGGACGTTGCCCGCACGGGGACCGCTCGTGCCTCCTCTCGCTTTCCATTCGTATCTCATGTGTAACGTCCGGTCTACTTTGAAACATCCAGAGGCACATTTGCAACATAAAAAAAAAGATAGATGAAACACTTGAAATATGTGTCTTAAATATTTGTAAAAATACTTGAAAACCATTGCGAACATATGTAACATCTAGATAAAAACACAAACATATGTGTGAAACATATGCAACATCCAGATAAACACACGTGCAATATCCATCTAAAAAACAGATAAAATATTGAGAACAGACAATCACAACATAAATATACGACCATTGCAACGTATACAACATCATGATTTACTTATACAACAGCCGAGAGTGAAGATATGGCTAGCTGGGCGCCTAGGCCGCCACTCGGGCCTCGCAGGTGCTGGTACCGTACATGTGTTGGGCTGTAGTGTTAGAAGCCAGTTGGGCCGTGCACATGGGCTAATTACACAATTGCTGTTGGGTCTTTGCACGTGTTGCCAAATTTTAGGTAAGCCAAGTCTTTGACTGTTTTTGTTTCTCAAAAAAGTCTTTGACTGTTTTTGGATGATTACTACCAAAACTTATAACTATCTTACATTTGCATCGTCAAATCTGTGGCAAACTGACAAATATTTTTGTTCAACTTATGAAACCTTTTACTTGTTATTACAAAAAAAAAATTTGCCTGATAAATTTTAGTAGGAAAGTAAACAAGCCTTTGTTTCCGTCTCTCTCGGCACAATGGTTCTGTTCACTTCTCTTATGATCCGTCTTTTTCAGCTTATTTGTTTAGCTAGAACAGTGTTTTTCTTTCACAACAAATCAGTCGGAACCACGTATCAACTTGTTTTTTCAACGAGAGGCCAATAGTATTGTCGTACCTAGATGTATAGTTTGTCGGGCGTTTGGCCGGAGCCGCGGGCGAGGCAGTGGCAGTGATGACCATTGCCAAGCCGGGCGGTAGTGCTTCCGATCATTACCGGCGCTCGATTCTGATGGACCATGTCAGATTGGCAGATTGCCGCCGTTTTTTTAGTTTGGATTAATATTTTTCTCTCAAAGTAATTCAACCAAAACAATATTTTAGAGTCAATTTCGCTCAAAATTCTACCGGTTGAACTGGGCAAGCCTTGACGAGACCAAATAGGCCCTAAAACGCTGCTGCGGTCCGAATAAAGTGTGTCGGAGCTGACACGGTGCTCCACACATCACATGCGCCAAGCGGCCCACTCATATCCGTCCTTGGATTATATTATATTATTATTACTAGTAGAATAATAACTGCCGGACGACGACAGCCGGCAACGCCACATCTTTTACCGAGAGAGGCTACTTCTTCCAGCTCTCTTCCCTCTTCTTCCGGCTCAAAATGCAAGCAAAGATCGAGCAGAAGCGCAGCAGCAACCTGTGGCTGCGGCTGCTGCGCATCGCGTCGGATCTGCCGATGCACAAGCTCCAGCTCGTCGTCACCCCGACCGCGGCGTCGCTGCCGGCGCTCGCCGTCGTCGCCCTCGTACTCCTCCTCCTCGCCACGGCGCGCCGCCCGTGCTCCATCCTCGACGCGTACCGCTCCGGCGTCTCCCTGCCTTCTCCGTCCAGACCCTCGCCTTCTGCCGCCGCTTCCCGGGTGCCCAGCGGGTGCGACATCTTCCGGCCGGGCGAGTGGGTTCCCGACGAGGACGCGCCGTACTACACCAACCTCACCTGCCCGCTCATCCAGGAGCACCAGAACTGCATGAAGTATGGCCGCCCCGACCGCGGCTTCCTCCGCTGGCGGTGGCGCCCCGACGGCTGCGACCTGCCGCGCTTCGACGCCGCCGCCTTCTTCGACGCCGTCCGGAACTCGTCGCTGGCGTTCGTCGGGGACTCGCTCGCCAGGAACCACATGCAGTCCCTCGTGTGCCTGCTGTCCAAGGTGCCTAATTTACTCTGCATTATTGCCTTTATCTCCGCTGCTCCTTCCAAGTTGCAACAAAATATTCTTCTCTTTTTCGGCCTGTTCGCTGTAGCCCGGCCGGTGCTCGTTGGTTGTGAGAGGAAAACATAGCGAGTGGTGAAACCAACCAGCCGCGAACAGGCTGATTGACAATTTGTGCACTAATTTTGACGATTAATAGTAACTGAACTAGATAATTGGGATTCAGTTGTCATTTTGATTTCTGATGCCATCTGCTAAATTGTTTGCAGGTGGCGTACCCCAAAGACATCTCGACGACGACGAATCTAGAGTTCCGGACAATGCACTACGAGGCGTACAACTTCACCATGGCCATCTTCTGGTCGCCGTTCCTGGTGCGGGGGCACCAGCCGGACCCGCGCCGGTGGATGTGGGACATCTACCTGGACGAGCCGGACGCGGCGTGGCGCGACGCCGTCTCGGGCTTCGACCGCGTCGTGCTCTCGGCGGCGGCCTGGTTCAACCGGCCGGCCGTGTTCTACGCGGGCGGCGGGCGCGTCGTCGGGTGCCACTACTGCCTCGTCCCGGGCGTCCCGGACCTGACGCTGCGCTACTCCCTGCGCATGGCGTTCCGCTCCGCGCTCCGCGTGCTGACGGGGCCAGGCTTCAACGGGACCGTGATCCTGCGGACGCTGTCGCCGACGTCGCACTTCGAGGGCGGGGAGTGGGACCGGGGCGGCGACTGCCGCCGGACGCGCCCGTTCGCGGCCAACGAGACGCGGATGGCCGGGCTGGACCTCGACCTCCACGCGGTGCAGGTGGAAGAGTTCGCCAGGGCCAAGGCGGAGGCGGAGGCTAGCGGCGGGGGCACGAGGCTGGTGCTGATGGACACCACGGCGGCGATGGTGCTCCGGCCCGACGGCCACCCGAGCAGGTACGGGCACTGGCCGCACGAGAACGTGACGCTGTACAATGACTGCGTGCACTGGTGCCTGCCCGGCCCCATCGACGCCTGGAACGACATGCTGCTCCAGATGCTCCTCCCGGATCCGTCTTGATGCACTCATGCGTGGTCCGTGTGTTTCTTCCGCTCTTTATTTGTCCCAAGAAAACACATTAATTGAGCGTCCAAATTTACAAAACTAGATGGAAACTAATTGAGCGTGCACTTATCATATCTGCATACTCCTAAGTTAATCACCCTATTCATTTGATCGTATCAGTCGTACTTATCAACTATGATATAGTGTTTTTCTTTCGTAACGAAGCAACGTCAGTCGGCTTATTAAGAAATGAAAGCGAACAGTCCAAATATACAGGGTAGATGGATCAGTACATACGTCAGTGTATTTATTTAGTGTACTGTCCAGTGCCACTGTTGGGCATAATGTCGTGCCACTATTGCAATTTGGATAAGCTTGGCATAGAGAACAATTAGCCGAGCAATCCCCGCAGTGCAATGAGGTGTTATGAACCACGACTCCACGAGGACTTATTCGTCTGCGTTGCGTTTAGTTTCCAAAATTTTGTAAGATTTTTCAAGATTTTTTATCACATCGAATCTTTAGACGTATGCATGAAGCATTAAGGTCCCGTTCGCTGGTCTGAAACTTGGCTGAAAAACATTGTTTTGACTGGTTTGTTGTGAGAGAAAAACATTGTTTGGCTGGTTTAATGAACAGTACATTGAGAGGGGAGATCAGTCAGCCGGCTGGTCTTATAAGACCAGCGAACGGCCCCTAAATAGGGATGAAAACGGTACAGATATTTTCCGACCGTATTCGAAACCGAATCCGTTTAGAGGGGTTGAGATCTGTCCGTATCCGAGTCCGGATATCCAACATCCGATACCGTATCCGTATTCGAACACTCAAATCACATATTTATGATGTCGATATCCAATCGTATCCTATTCGACATAGTTGACACTATCCGTATTCGAATCCGAATCCGGACAGAAATATGAAAACAAATGTAATATCGGTGATATTCGTCCGTATCCGATCCGTTTTCATCCCTACCCCTAAATATAAATAAAAAATAAAACTAATTATACAGTTTAGATGAAATTCACGAGACGAATCTTGTAAGTCTAATTAAATTATCATTGGACACTCATTACTAAATAACAACGAAAATGTTACAGTACCCTTACTCAAAATATTTGGCCAACGAGCCCCCAGTTAATGGAGCTACCGAGCTGAACCGTTGACTCCTTCATCTGGCGGTCCAAAAGATTCTACAGAAGCTAGCGTGCGTGCAGGTTCCGCAGAGGCAGGGACAAACTGGCGGTTACCGTGAGGCCAGTTCGACTTTCGTTAAAGCCGGCAGGAAAATATTGGTTGATAAATCGGTTGATAAGTTTAAATGAATCAGCCTTCGTGGGCTGGACGTGATGTAGGTATCGTTTGTTTGAGCTTGTTTGGCGAGTTTATTTGGCTGATAAGTGATGACTAAAAATATTATTAATCGATTTAATATGGAAAAAAATACTATTTATTAATTTAAAAAATAGTTTATAAGTCAAATAAGTTCAAATGAACAGGCCACACGCGCCAAGAGTCACGGGTTGGGCTACGCTGTCGTGTCGGTGTTGATAGAAGAGGATCCAAGGCATCGAAGCTCGATTTCCACGACAAGCTGCCGGTACTTTCCACCTACCGAAAGAAAGTCAGACTACTACTACCAAAACCAAATGCGCTGTTTCGGCGCGCGAGTGCC